GTGAGTTTTAAGTTGTAAGTCTCTTGAAAACCAACTGGATCTTGTTTTGATTAATAAAAGATATGTTGATGTTGTGATTAGATCTGTTGGTTATGTTTTTGACATGGTATCAGAGCAGGTTTATTCATGCATCGTTTTTTCCTCTTGATTTCTCGATCTGTTTTGAATTAGGGTTTTGAGTTAGGGTTTTCTGTTTGTTTTGGTTCTTGAGCTTCCTTGGAAGTTTATTGATCTTTTCTCTGATCCTCTGTTTGTGCGGTGAAGGTGGATTTCTTGTTGTTCATAAAATGAAAGTGTAAACTCTCTCAGACATCGTCGATCTTAATAGTAAACGATCGCTTGACTGTAAACGTTTAGATCTAACTTCTCGTTGTCTAACGGCCAACGTCAAGCGACTGTTAATGTTAAGGTTGCAAACGGTGCAATCTGGGGTGTTTGATGGTTTCTGGCATTTGAATGTCTGTCTACTTCAGTGTTAGATTCTATTTTATATAGATCTAACGGTAAACAACATTGCTGCTTGCAGAGCATTTTGAGTGGATTTCTGTAAGTATTCGCACGCTTGTTTCTCTTCTTGTTTGTTCAGATTAATATCTTGGGTGCTTCTGTGTTATTGTATTGTTTTCTTTGTTGTGTTGTGACTCTTACAATTTGTTAATAACAAGGTTGTGGTCTTGTGGTTATACTAGCTTGTCTACCCCTTGAAAGGTGGTCAGAATCTGGTTTAGTATAGTCATTTTTTCCTAAGAGAACACAATTTTGTTATTGTATAAGTTGTATCAGTCATGGTTGGGGAAACTCCTTCTGCATCTGGTGTTAAAAGTCCAGATCATTATGATTTTGATGATCCATTGTTTTTACACCCTTCTAATAATGGTGTTGTTTCAGTTATTAGTTTCAAATTGACTGGTACTGAGAACTTTAGAATTTGGAAAATTTCTATGACTAGGGCTTTGAAAGTTAGGAATAAATTAGGATTTGTTGATAAAACGTTTCCTAAACCTAGTGAGGATGAAACTAAAATTCATAAATGGGAACGTGTTAATGTTGTGGTATGTTCTAGGATTCTTGGTTCTGTTTCCGAGTCTTTATATGCTAATCATGCTTGTAGCGATAATGCTTCTAATATTTGGTCTGGGTTAAGTGAAACTTATTCTAAAGCAGATGGTTCTGTTGTTTTTAATGTACATCAAAAAATAAATTCTCTTACTCAAAGTGGTTTGTCTGTCTCTCAGTATTACAGTAAGCTTGATGCTTTGTGGAAAGAATTTGATGGGTTGGTTAATTTGTCTGAATTTACATGTGAAGCTTCAGTTGACTTTGTTAATCATTCAAAGTTAAATGAAGCTGATGCAGTTCTTGTCTGGTTTAGATGATACACTCAGCCAGGTTAAAAGCCATAACTTGTTAATGGAACCTCTCCCTAATGTAAAAACTGCTTTTTCAATTGTTTCTCGTGAAGAATCACATCAAAAAGGAGGTTCCATTTCTCAATCTTCCTCTAAGTCTCAGGTTACTGCTTTTGTTGGTAAATTCAATGATCAAAAACGAAATAAGTCTCGTGGAAATTCTAATTTTCAGTGCAAAAATTGTGGTCTTAAGGGACATACTATTGAAAGATGTTATAAGCTCATTGGTTTTCTAAAAGATTTTAAATTGAAGAATGAACCTCAGAATTTTAATAAGTCAGTTTCTTCTAATAATTAAATTTCTTCTGATGTTAATGGTTCTTCTGATTTGGATGTTAAAACTAACCACTCTTCTGAAAAGTTTTTTCTTACAAGTGAGCAATATAACAAGTTTCTCAGTCTTATTAATGAGAAACCTTCAACAAGTGAAGTATCTGCGAATATGGCAGGTACTTGTTATAACTCTTCTGTATCTACAAATAAAAAGTGGATTGTTGATTCTGGTGCAAATCATCATATGACCAAAAATGATTTTAAGCTAAATAACATTGTTGATGTTTCAAAACTTGATCTTAGAGTGGATCATCCTAATGGATCTTCTGCTAGGATTAATAAAATTGGAAATATGAGATTATCTGATTCATTAGTTTTGTCTGATGTTTTTGTTGTTCCTGAATTCAATGTTAATTTACTTTCAGTTCATAAACTTTGTAAGGATAATAAGTGTCAACTTGTTTTTGATGAGTTTAAATGTGTTGTTCAGGATTCACAGTCCAAGGTGACTGTGGGGACTGGTAGTGAATCAGGAGGGTTGTATTATCTTGAGGATTCTTACTCTTCAGGTAATATGGCTTCTTTAAGTAGGATTGGTTGTTATGTTTCAAAGGTTATTTGGCATAATAGATTGGGTCATCTTGCTATTCAGTCTTTAAATTCTCTTAAACATGTTTTGTCCTTTGGGACTGAGTCTCTTCCTCCTTGTGATGTTTGTCACAAGGCTAAGCAGTCTAGGAACTCTTTCCATTTGAGTGAACATAAGAGTTCTTCTTTAGGTGATTTAGTGCATATAGATGTTTGGGGTCCCTATATGGTTGCTACGACTGATGGCTTCAAATATTTTCTAACTATTGTGGATGATTTCACCAGAGGTGTACGGGTATATTTGTTAAAATCCAAAACTGAAGTTTTTTATTGGTTTTCTGTGTTTTATAATTTCTTAAAGAATCATTTTAATTCGAGTCTTAAGGTTGTTAGATCTGATAATGGTACTGAGTTTGTTAATTCTCAATTTAAAGATTTTTTTGATAAAAATGGCATTTCTCACCAAACTACTTGTACTTATACTCCACAACAGAATGGTATTGTGGAAAGAAAGCATAGACATCTCTTGAATGTAGCCAGATCACTTTTGTTTCAATCTGGTTTACCTCTTAAGTTTTGGGGTGAGTCAGTTTTGACTGCTGTGTTTTTGATAAATAGACTTCCTACTTCAGTTTTGAAGGGGAAGTCTCCTTTTGAAATGATTTACAACTGTTTGCCTAAATTTGAGAATTTAAGAGTGTTTGGGTGTTTATGTTTTTCTGTTAAGCAAAATATATCAGATAAGTTTGTTGAAAGATCTGAAAAATGTGTTTTTATTGGTTATTCTAATGAAAAGAAAGGATATAAGTTGTATAATCTTGATAATTTTTCTGTTTTCTTTTCCAGGGATGTAATGTTCTATGAGGATGTATTTCCTTTTGGTATTGCAGGGACTAGGGCTCATTATCTGGAAACTGGAAAGCACATGGATCTTTCACACAGGGTTTGGGTCGGATATATTCCGGGTTTGGTCTATAGGTTGTACCCGAAGTATATATACTTGGTTTTAGCTGTAATTGATCATTCAGATCATTCTTTCATTTCACACACTTACGCTTAATTCTCTCTGTTCTCTCGTCTTCATCTTCTTCAGACTAGGGTTTTGATCGAGTCTAGAGTTGTTTTGTTCTTGTTAACTTTTGTTCAATAAACTTTTTAGTCTGGTTGTTATTTTGTATATATTTGAGTGTGAGTGTTATGTAGTGAGTTTTAAGTTGTAAGTCTCTTGAAAACCAACTGGATCTTGTTTTGATTAATAAAAGATCTGTTGATGTTGTGATTAGATCTGTTGGTTATGTTTTTGACAGTATAGACTTAACCCGCTGTAAACACAAAAGAATAAATGTATTTGTGTGTTCGTCTTGGTGTATTGCAACTTTACTTATTATAACTTGTTTGGGTTTTTCGGACCACTTGGGTTGTTTGGTAAGATATGTGGAAGATATGGTAGATATTGACGCATGTTCAAATCATGGCACTACTCAAGCCATGTGACAATGGCAATGGAGGTTCGTCTACAATCACTCCGGAACATAAGGTTATGCCTCATGTTTGTAGTGGGGGATTAGTCAGTGCGTCAAAGCTGGTCAAAAATCTTTATTAGGGAAGTTCCCTTTCACACACACACAAAAAAAAAAAAAAAAAAAAAAAAAAACTTGCTCGGGTTTTTCCTAACAAGTGTGTGTTACTTGTATTTATACTTGTTTTATGCTATATACCCATGTAAAACCTTTTCAAAAATCAAAATTTTTCTTTTGTAAATACTTAAATGGATAAATGTGATTGTATCTAATCAGTTGGTGAGATCAAATAAGGGTTTATATACAATATTGGACATGGGTCTTTACAAAGCTAATTACTTTAATCTTTATTAAAATTGTAAACCGTACCATCTGAACGACTCATATAAATATGATCCAAACCACACGTGATGAGATCAAATTGGGGCTTGTATACAATATTGGGCATTGACCTGTACAAAGCTAATTACTATAATCTTTATAAAATAGTAAGTTGTGTCATTTGAATGGCTCATGTAAACCTAATCCAATGCTCACGTGAGATATTAATCATTGAACATTAACAATATTTTGGACATGTTAGAGTTTGAAGTTTGAACCATTGAACTCATGTATGAAATTTCGCACCTCAATCATTAGGCTCTCAACATATGGTTGTGTTAATCTTAAGTAAATACTAAATACTAATAAGAATACCTATTCTCCATATCAAATTACTTTGACAAAACATTATCAGAATTATAATTAGTTTATATCAAACATTCAAAACTAGATATTACAACTTGTTTATGTATATCTGATTATTTTGATTTTTAAATTATTAAAACTTTTAAATTATTAAAACTTCAGTCAAATTCATTTTGTATCAGAACTAACTAATCACACCAATTTAAATCGTAATAGGTAGATCCACATCAAACACTGGAATGGAGAACAATTAAAATGAAATATCTCTCACGAGGTATTTAAATAAAAATATAATCCCTAATTATAAATATTAAACAATTAGAATTGAAATAATATATATCGACCTTTATTGGTCATTCGGAGTCAAACTCAGTGAGTCGTTTCCAAGCGCGGACGTTATAACAAGATTCTCACAAGATTCTGATTTCTAAATCCCTATAAATACCATCCAATTCTCCACGATTCAATCAAAATTTTCCCTCCATTTCGAAAACAACTTTCAGAAACACTGATTTGATCTCCCATGGCGGAAGCTAACCGAAAACATCTTCCCAATGACGGTGGTGATCCACCCAAGAAGAAGAATACTACCTCCGCCGGTGGTTCTAAACAAGTCAAAATTGAAGACACCAGCAACAGAAAATCCAAGAAAGGTGACGTCGAAGAGGTTAACATCTACAACCTTGACTTACTGAATGAGATTCTTGAGTATAAAAAGTGGAAAGGAACAACCCCGTGTGATAATCCCGATGATTTGCGTGAATTCTGCACTCCTTATATTCGATTGGACATTGGGAACGCAAGGGGATGGATTAGGAAAATGAGAGAGCTGAAGACCAAATTCAACGACGACAGTGATCCGACGGATGATGTTGAGAAAGAGGAATTCGAAGTGTGGAAGAAGATTTGGGGGGGTGAACTAAAGGGCGATGATCATGATCCAGGTGTGGGTTCATCTAAATAAGATTTCTAATCGTTTTTTTACAGATTTTTGCATGTTGATGATGATTTCTTACCTCAAGAAATTCAATGGTGGGTCAAGAAAATACACAGATTCGTTTGTAATTGAATAAAACTTCTAGACTATACTCAGATCATAGATGTATTAATGAAGTGACTGGAAATGAATATATGAGTTTGATATCATGATACTTTCTAAATCGTAATAAGCAATGGGCTATAAGCATATAATGAAATGGGTAACCAATTTGGTTGTATACAATGTTGTAGTAAAGAAAAACGAAGGTATGATGCTATAATAATCAAATCAAGGAAACTAAATTACTATTTCTTTCATTCCCTTATTAGTTATTAATTTATTATTGTTGTTGTTGACTTGTTGATGTAAATATTGTTATTTTTACTGTTTTTTAGTTACTTGTATAAACTGACCCAAGATATGGTGCTATTTTGGAGCAACAGTCTTGAAGATATTTATGTTTTAATTAAAACTTGCAACATATATGTAATTCTAAATTCATAGATAAAGAAAATGAATTATACGTTTGTATTTAAGTAGTGTACATATACCAATATACCATTATGATTTTAGTTATTGAATAATGAAGAGAAACACGAGTTTCTTTTTCAGAAACTATAAAATTTGCGTGAGCTCGTCGTTATCATAAAACTATTTGAGATTTTTTTTGTATTATAAGGTCATAGTTTACTTATTAAATATTTGCCATTTTTATGAAGAATCTGCAAATTATTCTTTGAATTATAAATTGTTCTAAAAGTGAATGATATAATTGAACACGTTCATTAGATAATTCAATAAATTCAACTACAAAATCACATAATCAATCGATATTCCATTAGATACAATATCATTCATGATTTTGAATTACAATTGCATAAATCAAAATATATTCCCCAAATCTATCATTCACAATCGAATGTCACCACAACAAAGAAACCAATCCAAAATCCTAATCGGAAACCTATTCATCATCTTTAGAAGATGCAACAGACGCCTTCTTTGGAAGCAAGTGAGCGTGAATGTTGGGCATCACTCCGCCATTAGCAATCGTAACAGCTCCAAGCAATCTACTCAATTCTTCATCGTTTCTCACAGCTAACTGTATATGCCGAGGCACAACTCGAGTCTTCTTGTTGTCTCTGGCAGCATTCCCGGCCAACTCAAGAACCTCAGCCGCAAGGTACTCCATGACGGCGGCGAGATAAACAGGAGCACCGCCACCGATCCGGTCAGCGTACTTTCCGGTTCTGAGGAAACGAGCGATACGACCAACGGGAAACTGGAGTCCGGCCTTGCTGCTACGAGATGTCGACTTCTTGGCTACGGCGGCGGACTTAATGGACTTTCCTCTTCCGGCCATTGCTTGGACTAAAAAAACTGAAATGTAATAGTGAGATGTTGTTTGTAGAATGTAGATGAAGATATAATGGCTGCTTGGTGCTTTTATAGGTTGGGTAGGGTGTTAAAGGCAGCCAATAAGAACAGATAACGCGGATCAAGAGTCTCCGCCGTTGATTTTCATCCATTGAAATGAACGGCGGATATCGTGGATCATTGGATTCTATACATACATAAATATTCGTGGCTGTTTTAATTTACCGGTGTCTTTAACCATATTTGATTCCAGTTTTTGTTGATAAATATTTTAGTATTAGTTTTTCTACAAACTGCTGTATATCTAGTATTTGTGGTTCGTTGGTTTTTTTTGGTTTTGTTCTTTTAGTTTTAAAAATATAAATTTGGTAATTTTTTAATAGGTTTTATTGTGGTTTTTTGTTTTATTTTCTAAATTGAAATTGTTAATGTTAGTCGACAAACTAGCTGACAATTTATAAACTAACTACAAAATGATTTTTGATATTAACTACTTAATAAACTAGCTAAAATTTATAAAATGCATGTAAATGAATATATTTTATATAATTAATTAATTTTTTTTTTGGAAAGAAAATAAAATAAAATAAAATAACTAGCTTATAAACTTAATTTTTGGTATGACAAACATGACAACTTAAAATCTCGACAAGTAAAATAGCTTATTAGTTAGTTGTGGCGCAACCACGATAAACCACTTCAAATTCGATTTGTTTATCCAGAATATATTTGTGAATTCAATATAAAAAAAAAGGGCTAATGTCATAAAAGCCCTTAAGTTTTCAAGAAATTGTGAGTTTTACCCTTTGGTGTCTTTTGTGTTCATTAAAACCGGATATTTAGACTAATTGTGTAAAAATCGCCATTTAACAGGTAAACAACCGGTTACCCTGTTATACTTACCCTACCCATCGTCATCTTCATCCCCATACATCCTTCTTCTGTTCACCATTCTTCTTCTTCTTTTATGGTGTAATGAAACAAACCACGTGGTCTCCCTTCCTCTTCATTCTGAATGTTTCCCCCAGCCACCATGAAACCTAGGAAAAGAGTGTTGGAGCTCCTCTAAAATCGCCTCCTTAGATTCGCCATCAACATCATCTACAACCAGAGTCGGTCCACCGGCGTAGCTCCACCCCCTGACATCGACGCATATCCTTATATCTTCATTATACGCATAAACCTCACCTCCCTTTCTTCTGTTTACCTGACTCCATCAAAATCATCCACAATTTTTGAAGATTAGGGCTTGTGGCTGATCAGAGTTTTCTTCCTCCACCGGTGGATCGATCTCATCCACCATCTTTCCATTCTAATTCTCCAGATTGATATAAGGAGCTTCCCTGTTGTCGTCATGCTCAAACTCATCGGGTTTCATCATTGAAATTAATGAATCCTAAAGAACCTCAAGTGGCTGCAACAGTAAATATATGAATCAGAGCAAAGGGGTTCATCGTCTGCTCATCACATTCATCACCTTATTCATATCTTGGAGTCAAGGCGGCACTTGTTCATCACCTTAATTTCCTGATTAAGACCTCTTTGTCGTCGATAACACACCCATTTTGGGCTTTACCGATATCTAATTTGTGATTAAATACAACACACATAACGTATGATTTGGTATTGATTTGTATGTTATGCGTGTAATTTTGTGTTCCTTTGTATTTCCATGATGACCATGGTGAACGAGGTGAATGAGGAGGAAAGTATCACAGGAGGTAAGTTTAGATATGGGCAAGAATGAGAGGTGGTGGTGGACCATGTCAATGTAGATATGGTGGTGATGGTGGTTTTCAGTTATGGTAACAGTGGTGGATTTCAGGTGTGTGAGGTTTTTGTAAAAAATGATGAACATATTTGAAGAAGACGACGAACAGGTGGTGATGGGTTGTTGTTTGCATCTTTAGTTATGTAGAGTATAGATGATGATTTACCTTTTAAGTATATATTTGCAGGTCTGAATGGGTTATGTTTGATTCAATGGTTTCAACTTCAATGAGTTAAATGGGTTATGTGTGTGTTACCGGCAGTTGACTTGGAAACCCTCTAAAAGGGCATAAATACAAAAATTAAATCAAATATCCGGTTTTAATGAACACAAAAGACACCTAAGGGTAAAACCCACAATTTCTTGAAAATTTAAGGGCTTTTATGACATTAGCCCTAAAAAAATAATAATAAATAAATAAATAAAATCTAACTACTTCATTATTATTTAAATTTCAAAACATATAACATCTTAGTATACACTCTACTAAGTTTTATTCATTTACAAACAAATCTGTGTATTTTCTTGACCCACTATTGAACTTCTTGAGATAAGAAATCATGATTTACATACAAAAATCTGTATAAAAAACGATCATTTAGATGAACCCACATCTGGATCATGATCATCGCCCTTTTGTTCATTCCCCCAAATCTTCTTCCACAATTCAAATTCCTTCTTATCAACATCATCAGTTGGAGCACTGTCGTTGTTGAATTTGATCTTAAGCTCTCTCATTTTCCTAATCCATCCCCTTGCGTTTCCAATGTCCAATCGAATATAAGGAGTGCAGAATTCTCGCAAATCATCGGGATTATCACATGGGGTTGTTCCTTAATTTCCAGTTTTTATATTGAAGAATCAAATGCAGTATGTCAAGGCTGTAGATGTTCACCTCTTCAACGTTACCTTTCTTGGGTTTGCTGCTGCCGGTGTCTTCAATTTTGACTTCTTTAGAACCACCGACGGCGGTGGCGGAGGTAGTATTCTTCTTGTTCAGTGGATCACCGCCGTTATTGGGGAGAGGTTTTGGGTTAGCTTCCGCCATGGGAGATCAAATCAGGGTTTCTGAAAGTTGTTTTCGAGATGGATGGAATCTTTTGATTGAATCATGAAGGATTGGATGGTATTTATACTTTGACTTAATGACTCCAAATAACGAATAAAGTTGGATAAGAATGATTTTGATTCATATTGTTGATTAAATAAAATAATATATTATATAAATAGGAAAACAATTATTGAGATATTATTAAGAATGCGCAAAAATCGAACTTCAAACAACATAAGTTTGTTTTACAAAAGAATCATTGTATTTTCTTGATTCGCCATTGAATTTCTTGAGGTAAGAAATCATCATCTACATACAAAAATCAGTACAAAAAAAGAAGTTCAGAAAACTCATTTACATGAAACTGCACTCGGATCAATCATCATCATCATCATCATCATCGCCCTTTTGTTCATTCCCCCAAATCTTCTTCCACAATTCGAATTCCTTTTTATCAACATCCTCCATTGGAGCACTCTCATTGTTGAATTTGTTCTTCATCTCTTCCATTTTCTTTAACCACCCACCTTCGTTCCCAATGCCCACATGAATATAAGGAAAGCAGAATCTTTTCAAATCATCTGGGCTTTCACATGGCCACACTCCTTTCCGATTTCTATAAGCAAGAATCTCCTGCATTATTTCAATGGTGTCGTAATCAACCTCTTGGATTTCTTCATTCTCTGGTTTGCTTGTGGCGGTGTCTTCAATTTCGTTAGGGTGTTTCCACTGAGAAGAACCACCGCTGATGATGGCGTTAGTGATCTTCTTCCTCTTGTTGGGTGGTTCACTGCCGTCATGGGGGAGATGTTTTGGGTCAGGGTCAGCTTCCGCCATGGGAGATTAAATCACTGTTTTTGAAAGTTGTTGAGATGGAGGGAAATTTTCTTGATTAAATCATGCACGATATATTGTGATTTTGTTATGACGTCGCCACGTCGGCAGCTGAAAACGACTCCTTATAACAAAATTTGCTCGATAAAAACAAATTCGAACACAAAAGTGAATTTAAATGAGCTTTTGATAACTTAAATGTCAAATAATAGTTTATATAAATAAGTTGTAATAATTATTTTCGAATTTCATAAAAAATAACTAATTACAGTTTTGATTATTTATGGTTAAAGCAATTTGATACAGAGAAACAAGTTGCAAAAATTTGCCTACTGATTATTTAAGATCAAAGTAATTAGGTTTGTAACCCGAATTCGATCTCATCAATTGTAATATTATGAGTTTGCTTTATTGTGTGGAATGGAATGAAAACAAGAAAAAAAATGAAATATGTAATGAAATGGACAAAATAATAAAATTGATTATTATCATTTCATGAAAAAATTTCATGTTTGGTTGCTTAGGCGGAATAAATTGAATCATCAATCGATATTATTTGGTATTGTACGAAAAAATGAATAAATGTAGAGAAATAAAAGATGATGACAAATCAGAGCTGGCTCAACCAGTTTGGGGGTCGAAGCGAATCAAAAATTTGGAGCCCTTTGACTACAAGTCTACAATCTATCCTTGCAGAAACATTCTATAATGAAGAGCATAATCAATCCTAATTGTAACACCCTGTTTATTTAATAAATAAATAAAGTGATGAATGTATAGTAGCCCAAAAATCGAGTAATAATTATCGAGATGTTAGTTTCAGGGGTTAAAGTGCAATTAAGGGATTATTTTGAAAAGGTTTTGGAAGAGGAAGGGCTATTTGTTATCATTTGGACCAATATAAAAGAATTTATGGAAACAGGGGTTAAAGAATAAGTATTAGACTTAATTTGAGAAGAATTCGTCAAGGAGGGGCCATTTGGTAACAATTGGATTGAATTTGAAAGAAAAGGGAAGGGGGAGGGACTGATATTGTTAGTATGGCATAATGTTTTGAGGGATCGGGTATATAGCTTAAGGGAAACCCTAACCCTAGCATTCTTTGAGGAGCCGTCACCCTCTCCACCTTCAACCTCTAGCCGCGACCCTTATCCCTCCACCCTCCCTTCCGATTAGCTTCCAGCCGCCATGCATGAAGACGGCCACCACCACCAGTTGTTGTTCCGACCAGTCAAGGGCCCGTTGCCGCCGCTCCTTCGCCGTCTAAACTCCTCCAGCCTCACTGTCGGGATGTTGTGTGCATCGGAGGATCACCATGGCTGCCGGAAACGATGCCAGGGCAGCGTCACTGGATTTTTGGACGTTCCTCTTCCTCCCTCTTCTTTTGGTTCACGTTTGGGTGGCTGCTTCAGCTCATAACCGTCGATGTAGCGCTGGAACTGCAGTGTTGCCGTCGAACGCCACCACCTCTGCCCCCTTTTCTCTCAGTGAGGATGGTTGTTGACGTTGCCGTTAACGAAGACCAAACAGGGGCCATCTTCGGCCGTTGTTGCTGCTGCCGTTCGCCAGCCGAGACCGCTAACCCTAGCCGCCACCCTCGTTGATGGAGACTGTTGAAGAAGATAAGCTGATGCCGCCTTCAACCGCCGTTAGCCACTGGGAGAAGGTGGATGTGCGTGCTTTGGTGTGTGTTGTTTATTGCTACAGTGGAGTGGGTGTTGTGTGGGGATTGTTTTTGGCCGAAAAATGGAAAAATACCCACCATGGCCGCCAGCCATGATGGCTGCCGCCACTCGCTACCGCCGGCCACCACAGGTGGTTGTGTGTATGTGTTTAGCCTAGTTGTGTGTGTGTGTTACTTTAGAGATTAGCATTGTAAAATGTAACCGGAAAGAAAAATAATGAAAAGAAACTCAAACCACCACTGTAGGGTGGTGGCTGCCGCCTCCTGCCGCCACCGGCCGCCGTGTCGGGTGGCGGTGTGCCTTGCCGGATTGTGTTGACTCGTTTGGGGTGCTTGAAACCCTAATGGGCCCAAAGAAGCCCTAATGGGCCCAATGAAGCCTAATGGGCTTAGTGAAAACCCTAATGAGCTTAATGATATTCTAGTGGGCCTAATAGGCCCAATAAAGCCCTAATTGGCATAAAAGGCCAAAAAAGTTGATAAAATGGGCTAATATTTGGATTGGAAAACCCTAATGCCAATAAACCCTAATTTTGAGAATTAATCGGGACGCACACATGGGAATTATTTAATAACTTGATATATTAAATAATAATCATTGGCAAAGATTAATCTAAGCAATATTGGACTTAATGGATTAAGTCCTTAGAGGATTAAGTCCTTAATGGGTTAAGTAGGAAACTTAACCCTAATCATCATTCTATGAGAAACCCTAATTTCACTTGGGTTTATTGTTGGGCCGTGATGATTGGGTTATTAATGGGCCATCCAAAGTCAGGCAATTGGACTAGAATAATTTAATGTGCCTAGGGTAAGGCCCATGTAAGGGGTTTGGGCCCAATTTTCCATAGATGGGCCATAGTTTGGGCCTTTATGATTACGTGATATTGGGCCATTAGAATATTAAATGTTGGACTGGACTAAATGATTGGGCCTTATGGTAAGACCTTATAAAGGTTTGGGCCCAATTTGGAAAATTGGGCCATATGTTGGGCTTTGAGCCATAATTGGACTTTGGGCCTATGGATTGGGCCTTGGGCTTGAATAAGCCAAGCTAGGGGTAATGTAGTAATTACCCAAAGAATGTACTTATGGTTATGTAGTGGGACCCAATTATTAATTGGGTGTTATTTTGGTGTTGACAGTTCATGAATCTGTCATCCAGCAGCTGGGGTTGAGTCTGCGGGACTTCAGCAGAGTGGGATTGTGTCTGCGGGACTTCAGCAGTGTGAGGTGAGTTACCTTCCAATAGCGGTGGGTCTACGGCCACAATGTCGGCCCACCAGTAGGAGTTGTATGTTGGATGATTGTCTTTGTGATATCATCTGGGTTTGCTACTACCTGATATGTTATATGCTGACATGATATGTTATATGTGATAGTAGTAGAGTTCGGTTGCTAGGACCGAAGGGTAGGTCAGGCACCCCAGATATGTCTGACAGTATGTGATGATATGTTTATATGCTGGCATGATATGATATATGTGATAGCGGTAGTAGGAGGGGAATAGTCCCCAAGTTCGGTTGTTAGGACCGAAGGGTAGTTCGGACACCCCAAATATGTCTGATAGTATGTTTATGATATATGTGATAGTAGCAGTAGGGGGTGGAATAGTCCCCGAGGTTCGGTTGTGAGGACCGAATGGTAGGTCCGCACCCCATAATGGCTCGACACGGGTAGGTCAGCACCCCAGAATGGCTTGACACGGATAGGTCGGCACCCTAGAATGGCCGTACCGGGTAGGTCGGGCACCCCAGAATTGCCGGCAGTATGTATGCTATGTGATTATATGGTATGTGGTATGATGGGGGAACTCACTAAGCTTTGTGCTTACGGTTTACAGTTTTGGTTTCAGGTACTCGTTTTAAAGGATAGGAGTCGGCTTGATCGTAGCACATCACACTATGTTTTCCGCACAGGAGATCTTTGGGATTACACTCTGATATGGTTTTATGATAATATGTTTTGATCACTGACATTTTGGTTGCCACGAGATGTTATTATGAATGTTTTTATACTGATGGTTTTATGCAATAACTTATTTAAAAATGAAATTTTTGGCCTTGAATTTTGGGATGTTACAAGTTGGTATCAGAGCCTTGGTTTGAGGGATTCGGACATACTCTCGGGTCTGTCTGAACTCAAACTAAGGGCTTGGTATGAAAATTTTCAAAAGTAAAACCATTTTGTAAAAAAAAAGAGTTGAAAAGAATCTGAAAAGAGAAAGAACTTTGAGAAGAACAAAGTGTGTGATGCGTGCAATCAGCCGAGCTCAAGTAAGTTTTCCCCAAGATACCCATACATGTTATGTTATGGTATGATATGATATGATTATGAGAATTGCATGCTAGATTAGGGCTAAAGATCTAGGAGGATGCCTTATATGCCTATAGTATGTGCTTGTAGAATTGCATGCTAGTACTGACCAGTCAGTAATAGGATAGTCTGTCTAGGTTATGCCTGATTGTATGAGCCTTTG